GTGGACTCATCCTTACCGCTCATGGTGGCAGCTGAGGGACGAGCTCAAGGGGGTCCTGTCCGGGGGGGTTGGGGGGGGCCAGGAAAAACGCGGACGCTGACGAGGCAAGCGAACCCGGACCGGACAGGGAGGGGGGGGTAAGGAGGAGGGAGCAGCGCGCCACAAGCTCGGCCTAGACTCCGCCCTTTCACTGCTGCCCCGCCCAATGAAGGAGGGGAGAAGGAGGGACTTGCAGAAGAAAGGCGGGCACGCTGTCCAATGACACCACTCAGGTGTTCTCCAGGGCGTGGAGGGCCGAGTTGCGTGCCTGGTATCCGCCCCCAGATGCCGCCCTCTCAGTTTTAAAGTCCAATGAAAGATGCAGGAAGTGAAAATAGGCGGGATCTACGTATGACAGGCTGGGAAGCAAACCAATCAACCACCAGGCGGGCTCCCGGAGCGGTCGGGATAGGGAGAGTTTTTATAAGAATGACAGCATAACGACCAACCAAAATCTTGGACGTGCCTAGGCAAAGTTCTGCTGGAGGAGAGGCCGGAAGGGGAGAGGATGAAGCTGATGAAAACCAATCAGAAATCAGGCGGGCAGCTAGCAAAGTTACGATTAGATAAACTCTGAAAAAACAGACAGGTCAGGGCGCGTACTGACGTGACTCTAAGCCAATTATCTTCCAGATGAACTCTGAGGGCGGGAACTTGGAATAGGCAGCGGAGAGCTGGCGACTCGCTAAATCACTCCGTCCAATCAAGGAGCGAAGGACGCCAAGCACCGCCTCTAAGTGGGCCAATGGGCGTCACGCGAGCCGCCCGTCAGCGGGGAGGGAAGAGGGCCGTGCCAAGAGAAGTTCGTCGCCATATTGGCCGTCCTCGGGGGACGCCTTCACCGTGATTACATGGCACACTTCCGCGGAGCCAGGGAGCTCCACAGGTGTCAGGGCAGAGCCCAAGAAGTCGTCTTCAGGCCGCAGCCCCGCCTCACTGCCTGCGATCCTTGGGGTCCTCACTGGGTCGCCCCTCAACAGCCCCTCTGGAGTCCCACCCTCCGGGGCAGGCGGATGCCTCTGAACGTGGGTGTGAAGTTGACACTGTAAACCCCGCAAGTGCCGGCGAGAGGAGATCTGGCGGCGGCGCTCTCGAAATCATTTCACCCTGAGCTGGCCAATCTGGCTTTGGTGAAACCCTCGCAAACGCCATTTTCTTGATGCCGCCAGAGACAGGCGCAAGCCGCTTCACTTCGGGGTGGTTTAACTTGTCAAGAGCTTGTCGGGGGCTGAAGTGCTTGAAGGTCCTCAGCGGCTTCCTGCTCCTCCACTCTCGCCCCGCCCCTTTCATTGTAAACACTGCTGAAGCATTAAGTTCCCCTTCTTGTCAACCGCCAAAGTTAAAGGAGATCGTTCTGCCCGAGGCACCTGGAGTTGGGGCCTCCATTTTGCCGCTCCTAGATCCTAGTTGTGATGGGAGAGACCCGGATGGCTTGTAGGCGACGTGATGAGGTCACCCTCTATAGCGCTCGTGTTTTCAGTGTCGCTTCGGTGGATGTAGCCTTGTTTGAAAGTTTGAACGCCCCCCCTCCCCCCATAGATTTTGAGCACTTTGAAAGTAGCGACTCAGGCCTCTGTTCCTTTGGGCAGGGCCTGGAAGAAATGACTTACTTGATTGCTGTTCTACCGACATCAGGTTATTTGGTCAACAAAAAGACGACACCCAAGTGAGGAAAGTGGAATGTAAATTTGCCCAAGGTCCCAAAGCTTTAAAATTGTGCCAGATTCCAGCCCTGCGCACTTACACATACACAGGACTAGAAAACATTTTTCAATTTTTGTTATTGGACAACATTGCTTTTGTCCTGGTATTTTCTATCTCCTGAAAACAAATCCTACCTACACTCCCAAGACTACACAAATGGCATCATCTTGTCCATCTTTATTGTAAAACGCCTTGTTTCTTTAGATCAGAGTTCCTCAAGATGTCCTGTTGGGCTGTAATAGGATTATTAGCAGGGCGTTTAAGACTTTGCGTTTTTACAGAGCTTTTTCACATAATGCATCTATGCAGCAAAGAGTTTAAGAAACACTAAGAGAAACTTCCTGGAGGGAAGAAACTGCATTAGTCATCTTTGTAAATGAAGCACAGGAGTTGAGTGTATTCAGCAAGACCACACCCACATTTACTGGGGGAGGGGGGAGGAACTACTTTGTGGTGTAATTCTCTAAACACTTCAAATACATTGTCCAGTTTAATCCTTCCACCTGATGGGAGAAACCCTCATCCTCTTTTGCAGATTAGAAAAGAGAGGTCAGACCGACACTGCAGTTAAAAAATCCTGTTTCAGCTCCAAAGTCTCCAAGTTTGTTTCCTATTAAAGCTTAAATTCTAAGCACTAGGCTGGTAGGAGGCTGCAGTTTAACCTAGGCAACTGAAATCTCTTAAATTCAGTCTCCATTGAGTTTTTTTCGGACCATTGAGCAATGTTGTAAAAAGCTCTGCCCCCAGGCACAGTGTGTTTGAAGGTAAATTGCTGCTCCTCCCTTAACTAGCCCAGGGAGGGGCAGTCTCTCTCCCAGGAACTTAACCTGGGTGTGCAGGGGTGGAAATCGAGATACTAAGGTCATATAGTCAAGTGTCATACCCTACCTGACCCAGGTAGTGTGAGGTCCTGAATCCAACTTGTGCATTCTCGAATCCACACTAATGCACTTACTCCAACCATGGTTCCATCTTCACCATGGTAGTTCCGCCTGTGCCCTTGATTGATCTGCCACCAATCTTGGTTTTGTGATGCATTTCCTTTGTTTTTCATGCTTTCTAATGCTATGGCTCATGCTGATGGTCGCCCTCATTTTGGTGGTTTGTCTTAGTCTTTATTCTGTTTAAGAATTAATATATATTTGGGAATTTATATATATTGGGGAGGATAGGGCTTTCTACTGTGAAGACTTACAGTCTCAGAAAGCCATGGGCAGCTCTACTTTGACCTATTGGGTCACTATAAGTCAGCTTCACTCGTTGGCAGTGAGTGAATGAGATAAAATATACTTGACTTTCGAATAGTTCTAAGCTAGCACTGGCAAAAGATGTGGTGGTTTACTTTCCTAAAGATGTCAGCCTTGGAAATCCCAGAGGAGCAGTTCTACTCTGTCCTACAGGGTTGCTGTGAGTCGGAATAACTCAACTCGGCAGGGCTTTTAAAAGCTTGCCTGTGAAAGGGGAGGGAGCCCTGTGGCATAGTGATTATGCATTGGGCTGCATTTTTTGCAAGGTCAGCAGTTCCAAACTGCTGGGAAGGACAGGACTTTCTACTCCCTTGAAGAGGTACAGCCTGAAACCCACAGGGGCAGATCTCCCATGTCCTAGAGAGTCACTGTGAGTCCACATGGACTCGATGGCAATGAGTTTGGTTTGGGATTCTCCTTACAGTTCCTTCCCACTGCTCCTCCTGGGACATGACTGGATTCAGCACTTAACCAATGAGTTAGGTCTTTAGCTCACTGATAATCCCTGGGATCAAATAAACTGTGATTCATCCTGTCCAATTCCCCAGGGAAATTTTTAACAAATTTTCATTAGATGAAACAAAAACTGTTTTTACTGAATAAACTTAATTCAAGGCTTGCATATTTCCCTAGTGTCTATCTACAGAACCCTTTGGGGAATACTTCAAATAACGCTAAAGGATCGATTAAAAAAAGCAATTAGATCATATGAACTCAGCCCTGCTGGTGTAGTGATTAAATATTGCTAACATCAAAAAAAAATATTGCTAACATCAGGGTCAGCAGTTCGAAACTACCAGCCGCTCCGCCAGGGAAAGAAGAGGCTTTCTATTCCTATAAAGAGTTATAGTCTGGGAAACCCACAGGAGCAGTTCTACTCTGTCCCACAGGGCTGCTATGAGCCAGTTTGGAGTGATATAGTAAGTAAGCCTCCATTCACATGGACTAACAACCCAGCATAACATTCAAGGCTTTTACTTTGCTTATTCAAATTCCTCACCCATTGCTATCCACTAGATTATTCTTGAGATTTCCTCCCAAATGCCATGCTTTAGTCTGGCTGCTTGGGCGTCCTCTGCCATCAGGAATGACACAGGAAGTTCATGACCAATCAAGAATTACTTCAGCAAAAGCAAATGGTCATCGATGTCCTTTCCCCTGGGAAAGCAACAGTGCCTAAGACAGAAATTCCTGGTAAAACTAGCCCAAATGTACCAGACCACACCAGATTGCCATTGTTGTATTTGGATTTAGAACCCATTTCGGTGGTGGCAAGACTACTGGCTTCGGCATGATTGACGAGTCTCTGGCTGAGGTAAAGAAAAAGGAACCTAACAGACTTGCAAGACATGGCCTGTCTGAGAAGAAAAAGACCTCCAGACAACAAGGCAAGCAACCCAAGAGCAGAATGAACAGTCAGGGGGACTCCACAGGCCAACGTGGGTGCTGGCAAAATGTGAGCTGGAGATCGGATCACAGAGAGACTAGATACTCCAGTGACTTCATCTGCAATGGCTATGTGGAAGTTTCACCAGAGAATGAACTATGAAATCTTGTTAAAGTCCTGCGTTCTGGAATCTCCAAAGCCCAGACCTTTTAAGTGCCAGTCTCTCACTTGTCTTCCTGTCGCTGAGAAGTACAACCTCGCTGAAGACTTGCTGACCACTCCCTGGCCTTGAATACTTCCCACATAGCTCCTAAAGCAGTCTCTGAGTATTCCGTGTCCCCCAGCTAGCCTGAACAATATAAGGGCAAGAATGATGCTTTTTCATGCTATGTCCTAAAGCTAGAGCATATAGTTGACGCCTGGTGTACACTTGTTCATCTTGAATAAATCTCCAGATTACAATCGGAGGACATGAGTTTGTTTTTTTAAAATCATTTTATTGGGGGCTCTTAACTGCTCTTATAACATTCCGTACATCAATTGTTTCAATCATATTTGTATGCTGCCATCATTTTCTAAACGTTTGCTTTCTATTTGAGCCCTTGGTATCAGCTCCTCTTCAAGACTGTAACTCTTTTTTTTAAGACTGTAACTCTTTATGGGAATAGAAAACCTTGTCTTTCTTCAGTGGAGCAGCTGGTGGTTTTGAACT